TTTTTTTTGTTCAGCTTGTTATGATTGCATTGCAGTTTTCCTCTGTTAGATCAGGAGTTACTAACCATGTGGTTCCCTCAACATACTAAACAATGTTCTCCTGCTCTGATAATTTTTTTTTTTTTGCATGTGTTTGTTATTCCTTTGTTTCTTTGGCCCCACCCTGGGAAATTTCATCTAGAACCACCACTGCCTATGTTCTCTCTATTTATTCTATTGAGATTTATAAGTAATTCTGGTGTTTTAAAGTCTAAAATACAAAAACATTAAACAAATAAGAAAATTAGAGAACAAATTCAGGAAGAAACATTCGTTTTTATAAATGCAAAATGTATGAAGCCAATAGAAGTTATTAAAGGCTGAGACAATGAAGACATTCTTTGCAGTTTACTCTCTAAATTAAAGATGCTTTGCATTATTCACAAACCAAAATTTTGAACAATAAACCTAAATCTATGTCCCTGTTACTAATATACTTTTTTTTTTTATTGTAAATTGTATTACTATTTTTTATTTTGAATTTGCTATAGCATTATTACAGAGTTATTTGTATGTTTTGATCAGATCATAATCCTATATATGTCCTTAGATGTGAGTAGGCCTTACAGGCAGTTTTCAAAGACTCAAACAGATCTATCACAGGATAGACATAGGAAAAATAGACAATCTTTGAGCTAATTGAGTTTATTATTATTATTAGAACTAAAGAAAATGTAACAATATTTATATACTGCTATAAAGCTGCCATTAGTACCCTAATATATACTTGACAAATTGATGCTACTATGACAACTAAATGATTGCATCTAACAATATAATTGCATTATTGATATTTTTATTCAATAGATGTGCATTTTTTTTTTGGTAAGACTATGGACAACATCACACATACACAACCCCCCTGTCCCTTCGCTAACCTGGTTAAATGAAAAATTAAATAGAAAACTAATTTAAAAATGTTAAAAGGCTTCTTTTTTTCATCATTGTCTGTTTTATGTTAATAGCCGTATAAAAAAAGAAAAACTAAAGTTGCTAGCAGACCAGGGGGAAATAGATTCATGCTAACATATCAGCCAAAAAAAAAAAACTTAGTCATTTAATAACAGAATGATAAAAAAAAAAAACATCCTCCAAATGCATTCAGTCATTTGAACAGAAAGCTTCTCCATGGATTCTCTTCTTTTGATTGGACGTCTCCATCACATCATTCTGCCTCTGTTGTTCTGTGTTTAGCTCCATCCACACTCCCATCATCTTTAACTGGTTCCCCTGTGTATTTCAAAGGAAAACATCCTTTAACCTCTTACACCCTCAGGGGGTATAAAAAAAATATCTGCCTGACAAAAACACACAAAAGTAAATAAC